AGGAAGAGAAGTCAGGCAAGTGGGAGAGCCTGGTGCATACGGGGAAGGAAAAGCAGAGGAAAGCAGAGGATCTGGAGGATGAGCCTTTCACAGAGAGATACAGAAAGGAGGAGCGTGGAGGGGCCAAGAGGAGCGAAAGTGGGCACAAGGGCTTTGTGCCAGAAAAGAATTTCCGAATGACTGCATACAAGGCAGTCCAGGAGAAAAATTCATAACTCCCTCCGAGGAAGACATCTGAGAGCCGAGACAAGCTGGGAAACAAAGGAGACTTTTCCTCTGGGAAGTCTTCCTTTTCCATTACTCGGGAGGCCCAGGTCAACGTCCGGATGGACTCCTTTGATGAGGACCTTGCATGACCTGGTGGCTTATTGGCTCAGGAAAGAAAGCTTTGTCGTGACCTAGTCCATAGCAATAAAAAGGAACAGGAATTTCGTTCCATTTTCCAGCACATACAGTCAGCTCAGTCTCAGCGTAGCCCCTCAGAATTGTTTGCTCAGCACATAGTGACAATTGTTCATCATGTTAAAGAACATCACTTTGGATCCTCTGGAATGACATTGCATGAACGCTTTACTAAATACCTAAAGAGAGGAAATGAACAAGAAGCAGCTAAAAATAAGAAAAGCTCAGAGATACACAGGAGGATAGACATTTCCCCCAGTACATTCAGAAAACATGGTTTGACTCGCGAGGAAATGAAAAGTCCCCGGGAAGCTGGCTACAAGGCTGAAGGCAAATACAAAGATGATCCTGTTGATCTCTGCCTTGATACTGAGCGTCGTAAAAAACGTAAGGAGAGAGATCTTAAGCGAGGTAAATCAAGAGAGTCGGTGGATTCCCGAGACTCTAGCCACTCAAGAGAAAGATTGACTGAGGAAACAGAGAAAACTCACACAGGATCAAAGAAACAGAAGAAGCACCACAGAGCAAGAGACCAGTCTAGGTCCTCTTCTTCCTCTTCCCAGTCGTCTCACTCCTACAAAGCAGAAGAGTATCCCGAGGAAGCCAAGGAGAGGGAGGAGAGCACCACAGGTTTTGACAAATTCAGAATGGGGACCAAAGACTTCGTGGGTCCAAATGAAAGAGGTGGCAGCGCTCGGGGAACCTTTCAATTTCGAGCAAGAGGGAGAGGTTGGAGCAGAGGAAACTATTCTGGTAACAATAACAACGACAGCAACAATGACTTTCAAAAGAGAAACCGGAAAGAGGAATGGGATCCAGAGTACACACCCAAAAGCAAGAAGTATTACTTGCATGATGACCGGGAAGGTGAAGGCAGTGACAAGTGTGTGAGCCGTGGCCGTGGCCAAGGAGCCTTCCCCCGGGGTTGGGTTGGTTCCTGTTCCGGAAATCTAGTACCAGCCCCAAGTGGGCCCACGACAAGTTCAGTGGGGAGGAAGAAGAAATTGAAGATGATGAGAGTGGGAGAGAGAACAGAGAAGTGAAGGACAGTTTACAGCCCACAGCTGAGTAGGGGCCACTCTTGATGGAGCCCTTGCCCAGGGGAGAAAGGCTCTGGGAGAGGCTGGTGGCGTTAAACAGGGAGCCTCCAGAAGATCCTGCAAATCCCACCCCACAACCCACCAGCCACACAGAACCCTAGGACAGCAGAGTACACATCCCTGATGTTGTCCCACTGGACAGAGGATACTGGCCACAGCCTAGGATCAGGCCCATGTTTTGAGTGACCCACAATACAGTGGGCTCCTGCCGTTTCTTGTTTGTTGTTGGTGTGTGGGGTGGAGGCAGGGTAGGAAGAATGATGCTGATGCTTGGATTTGGGTTTTTTTGGTTTTTTGTTTGTTTGTTTGTTTGTTTTCCCTATTAGAAACCAAGTTTTCTTAATTTCATTTCATTTGGAGCTAAGAGGATGATGAACTTGGTTTTCAGTCTTTTCCTGTCCTGATTTTTAAAAATCCTTTATATTTTTTCTTTCCTTTTTTTCTTTCTTTTTAAGGCATATGTAGTAATATTAGCAGAAAGATTTAATTTGGGCAACTTTGATTCTTAAGAGAAAACAAAGCATGTGAATAAACATTGAAGAGTTTGCCTCAGTTTGGGACCAGACTGCTTGGATCTTTGTAGAAACCGGTTTTGTATGGCACGGAGGAGTTTAAGGCCTTTCTGACCACCCTGCGCTCCCCTTTCTGCACAGCCGTGTGTCACGTGGAGTTGCTCCCAGCCTCCCCTTGCATCCTGCTCTTGTCTGATTTCTCCTGGGCTGGGCTTCCCATTGTCCACCAGCAGCTCCGTGATCCTCCACTTTGTAGTCCCGCTGGTCCTCAGCGAAGGGAGGGAAACTAGAGGGCAGTTTCTGGTCTGTTTTCTAAGAAACTCCTGAATGCTATTATCTTTACAGATATAAGATGAGAAAAGAATTTTAAAAAAATATATGCCTGTAAGAAGTATAAATAAGTATATGTTGAATGTGAGTTTTTGAAAAGTGTAAATGTTGAATGTGAGTTTAAATGCTTAATGTAAATACATGTAGTAAATAGCCATACTAGTTGTAAAAGTAAGTTTACTTAAGAAGTGTAAATAAAATAAGTCAGAAAAATGTAGGTTTAGAACAAGCTTTAGGCATAAATATATTGTGTAGGCTTAAGTAAGACTTAGGTATAATAAGGTAGGATATAGGCTTTAGTTCTAGGGACATGGTGAAGGCTTAATAAAAATGTAATTAAGAGTAGAGTAGGAGTCTGAGATGTAGAAAACAGCATCCACAGAAGACTGCAAACTCGGCATTTCCAAAAGCCACCAATAAGAACAAAAATCAGCTTTAGAGACTGCCAGCTTCAGAAAGTAGCAGCTAACATGAGCTGCTGAGACCTATGGAACACCAGTGCAGTCCAGGTGGCAGATGAATGAGGGTCTGCAAGCTTTCTAGTGACACAAAGCCCCAGTGAGGAGCAGAGTGCAGACTATAGCAGGCAGTGACTTGAAGTGCAGCAAAGACTTCAGCCCCCAGCTGCCTGAGCAGGTCTTTCTCTTGGAGGTGCAGTCCCTGGCAGCTGGATTCCAAGACACCACAGAAAAGGCAGAGAGCTGAACAGGTGGCTCAGCAGAGGCACCATGGGAGTGGCCAAGAGCCAAGCAGGCAGCTGGAGTGCTTGAGCCCAGGAAGCTAGAGCCATGCTCCAGGCTGAACAGACAAACCAGGACTGTAAGTGCTGTAAAAGCCTAAGCTAGAAGTAAAAAAGTTGCAAGTTCTGTTTGCTGGCTAAAAGAAAGCCACTTTTGAAAGGACTTTGCACCAACCAGCTCTTGTGGCATTAATAGCTTGTGCCGTGAAAGAAAACCTACCCTAAATGCTGATTGCAATTTAAAGTACCTTTGCCCATGAGAATGAAAGTTGCGGAGACACTTGTTTGAACTAAAATTGTTAACTGCAAAAAGTTTTTGGTTGTGACAAACATTTCTTCATACTTAGAAATGGCAATCTGATATCACAATTTACTCTTTCTTTTTAAACTTCTTGAACTTAAAAAAATAAGATAAAACTACAAAAAGGTTTAGGTTATAGGTTTCTTCATATTTGGAAGGCTGATATCATAATTTATTATTTGAAATTTTGGAATTATGAATGGTTTGGACAGCAGGGTTTTCATTGCAATGGGACAATTTTGAATTCATCATGCCTATAGACTATGACTTAGGAGCTGTTGATGGAATTATTTGTGTTAAAAATGGAACTCTTTACAGGGAGAAATTTATTTTTTCTACCTAGGCTCAAGATGCAGTTTTGTGTAGCATATATGATTTATTAACTGTGGTGATTCATGAATTGTTTTGTGTTAAAAATGGAACTGTTTTAGGCAACTATTTATGTAAAATGGAATTAATTATAGAACTTGATTGTGTTATAAATGGAAATGTTTAAATAAATAAATTTGGTTTTTTTTCTAACTAGGCTTGAGATTTTTAGTGTAAAATTATAAAGAAATGGGGGAATTAATATTCCTCAGTCTATTTAATTTAAAAAGTGTTTTCGTGTTACTTGAGTGAATTAATGTTATGTTTTATATAGTTGTATTAAGAAATTATTTTTGGAGAGCCTGCCAGCCCCCAATTGGACGAAGTGGTGAGTCTTTATCTACATACCTGAACACCCCAGCCCCTAGGTTTTGGGCCCAGGGGCACAACCCTGGGGCCCTACACCACCACCCATTGTATGTCCTGTTTCAGGGCAGTTGGTAGGCAGATCTCCTGTTGAAAGGTCTGACTACCACCATCCCCCACAAGACCATGTAACCCAAACACTACCTCCCCCAAATCCCACCCACCCTCCCAGACTGCAACTTATCCCTGAGACAGAGCCTGCCAGCACTGGATTGGACTAAGAGTTGAGTCTTTATCTTCATACCCGAACACCCCAGCCCCTAGGCTTTGGGCCTAGGTGCACAACCCTGGGCTACAACACCACCACCCATTGCAGTCCCAATATCAGGCCAGTTGGCAGACAGACGTCCTGCAGACAGGTCAGACTACCACCATCCCCCAATGGGAAGAAATCAGTAAATCCCTTGAAAACCAAGAGAAAACAATTGAACAAGTGAGGGAAACAGTTCAAGATTTGAAAACTGAAATCCAGACAATAAAGAAGACACAAACTGAGGGAATGCTGGAAGTGGAAAATCTGAGTAAATGAACAGGAACTGCGGATGTAAGCATAACCAACAGAATGCAAAAGATGGAAGAGCAGATCTCTGGAGTTGAAGATCTAGTAGAGGAAATAGATTCATCAGTCAAAGAAAACACTAAAGCCAACAAAGTCATAACCCAAGATGTCCAGGAAATTTGGGACACCATGAAAAGACCAAACCAAAGAATAATAGGAACAGAAGAAGGAGAAGAATACCAACTCAAAGGCACAGAAAATATATTCAACAAAACCATAGAAGAAAACTTTCCCAACCTAAAGAAGGAAATGCCTCTAATGATACAAGAAGGTTACAGAACACCAAATAGACTGCATCCAAAAAAAAGTCCCCATACCACATACTAATCAAACTACTAAATATACAAAATAAAGAAAAAATATTAAGAGCTGCAAAGGAAAAAGGACAAGTAACATATAAAGGCAGACCCATAAGAATAACACATGACTTCTCAATGGAGACTCTTAAAGTCAGAAGGGCATGGACAGACGTTATGCAGACACTAAGAGACCATGGATTCCAACCCAGACTATTATACCCAGAAAAACTCTCAATTAACATAGAAGGAGTAAACAAAATATTCCATGATAAAACCAGATTTCAACAATATTGCTCCACAAATCCAAACCCTACAGAAAGCTCTTGAAAGAAAAAATTCCAACCTTAAGAAGTTAGATACACCCATGAGAACACAGGGAATGGATAGTCTCATGCCAACAAATACCAAAGAAGGGAAACATACAACACTACCACCAAAAAATAACAGGAAATAATGATAATTGGTCATTAATATCCATTAATAGCAATGGTCTCACTTCACCTATAAAAAGACACTGGCTAAGCTGGGGGGTGGTAGAGCACACCATTATTCTTTTTTTTTATTAAGAAATTTTTATTCATTTAATTTACCAATCACAGATCCCTCTCTTCCCTCCTCCAGCCCCTCCTGCCTTCCCCTTAACCCACAGCCATTCACTCCTACATGAAGGTAACATTTTTAATCATTATTCAAAATAGATGTCTTACTAAGCTCACAGAAGACATAATCACACTCCAATGTGTCTATAATGTCTATATATCCCAACTTGATTTGTCTTTACATCTTAATTTCAAATTCCAGTTATTTCATAATGCACATTTCAATGGTGTTTTATTTACAATGTTTCTCTAACTACTCTCTCCTTTGGACATTTCAGCACATATGTTCTTAAGTATGCTATGTGTTTACTTATCACATAGTATAATAATATTCAGAATACTAATTTATGTATATTTCCCAATTCATCATAAGCTTTGTTAAAGAGTGGCATACGTGATGTAAACCTATTTAAAATTCTGTGCCTGTCAATATGTATCTTTCGTACAATAGATTTGCAAATAACTAGAACACAGTTGATAGATAATATTTGTTCCTTATTGACTAAGACATGAGCCCTGAGTCAAGATAGCATTCCAAATCTAAGAAGTAAATACTATGTTGAGAAATTAAAGGACATTGGATTTTAGCTAGTTGTTTTCCAATTCATTGAAAAGACTGAATTTCCATTGCCCACATGAATAACTGACTATGATAATATAACTGATACTTAACAATGTTTCTTTCATACCAATATCAAGAAGTGAGAGGTGATATTTAGAATGTGGCTCATACCTGGCTGTCCAGAAACCCTTGCCTCCAATGACTTTCAGTTTGGAATGAGAATTTATTTATTTATTTATTTTTTCCTTTTTTTTATTATTATTATTTTACAACACCATTCAGTTCAACATAATAGCCACAGATTCCCCT